GATGATGTATTTTTAGTTGGGTGGGAGGGGGGAAACTGTGTATTGCTTTATGGGTGTCCTGGACAGAGAGAGTTATGCTTCCTTCACCTTGTGTCAGAGCCTCACCAAGTGATGTGATGGGGCTGCTCCTAAGATTTGGGCTTTTGCCCCCTCTTCTGGTAACTCTCTGCCCCAAATGGGGCTTGGGGTTTACTGTGAGAACAGAGGGGTTCTGGTGCCAAGGGTCCTTGGCTAGTTCCTCTCAGTTCACCTGGGCAAAAATTTCACCTAACGCAAATGAGTATTTTGGAGCACCTTTTAAAAAAATGAGCACACAGTCTCTGCTCATGCTCTTTCTGTGTTTGTTTTCCGGTGTTCAAAAGAGGTTCCAGCCAGTGACATACAAGAGCCATGGGTGTGAATGGTATTTCAGCCACAGAAGATGACTTTAGCCAGCAGGTCCTCCTGAAAGCCCAGGCTCTGACAAAAGATTTGTACAGCAAAACTGTCACCAACAGCTAAGCCTTCGTTTCTGCATGCCAGGTACTCACTGCGTGTCAGAGCAAAAATGCATTGGAATGCCTGCAGGAGACTCCAAAACCGTGATCCTGAAAACTTTAGCTCACGTGCTGCCCTGCTGGAAGCCTCTGTAGCTCTTTACTTTCCGATTTAAAGTTCTCACATCAGGTATATTTGTGGCCACTCAGACAGCCACTTTTCCCCCAAGGATGAGCATTTAGTCCAAGCTGGGTGAGGTTGACTCTTCCTCCACCTGAAGGCTCTGGGAGATGGGTATGGGGTACCCTCTGCATGTCCAAATACTCACCATAAGGACTGACGTCCTCTCAAAGTGCAGCTACCCATTTCTTTCAATTCAGAGGCAGAAGAGGTGGCTGTGCCTTCCCTTCGGTACACCAGACTGAGCACAGGGTGACAACCCCAGCATGCTTCAGGATACATGGGTGCTAACGAGGTGCCATGACGTTATAACATGTTACAACGGGGCTTCTGAATTTCTATTTCTGGCCCTTGGCGGAGCGGAGACACCATCGTTTCTCCGCACGCCCAGAACAAACACGCTCTTAAGGCCTGCTGGCAGGTTGCATGGGGGTGTTTTTCTGGGGACTCAGAGCTAGGCTCTCCCTTTCTGGGTGATCTAGGGCATAAAAGGAGGGGGAGGAGGGAAGGCCTCTTCCCGCTTCCCCTCTGCTGCATGTCTTCATGAAGAAATTGCAAGGTCTGCTCAATTCTTTGAAAGAGCAGAGGTGCCCATTTTTAAGGAATGGGGTATTGATCCCAAACGGATTGGAGCCACCACACTCAACCTGCTCCTCAGTGTTTGCTGAGTGATTCTTTAATACAGACTCAAAAATAAAATAAAAGTAACTACCTAGACACAATTTGTTTGTAATGTTAATTGGCTGTGACTCAATCCTAACAATATCTGAAGTACTGATAATGATATCTGATATGAATAGATAATACAGATTTGATTTATTTTTTTTTTTTTAACAGAACAGGAAAATAAAAATGAGGAGACAAACCAGTGGAGAAATAAAGCAGGATATGAAAAGCAAACTGATAAAAAGAGTCTCAATGAAGTGGAAAGAGAAGAGTTACAGACAAAAGCTATGGCAGAGGAGAGCCCCAAGACTCACCGACAGTATTTGGATGCTCCTACGGAAGTGTTCCCTGTGGCTGACAATTTATTTGGGGTGTTTCTATGATGGTGCCCAGTTTGGTTTATGCATTCAGGTGTACGGTAGCTCCAGGAAGCTGGCTGGTGAGCGTGAGGAGCTGAGGCCATGCCCAGCTCAGCATGCTGCCTGATTGGGATCCCACATCTCATGGCCACGCTGCTTCCCCTGTGTACCCTACAGAGCCACACCATCCAACAAGGACAAACCAGCCGGGACTGGGCAGGAGGAGCGAGCCTCACAGCTCTGCTGCCACACTGCAAGGGTGCCTGTGAACTCATTTTAGCAGGGCTGACCCAAAGAAGATGCGCTTTCTCTTCCTGCCTGATTGCTTTACAGATGAGAAAGGAGTGTAGGAAGGTGCTAGGAATAGCTCACTGTTTCTTTTTAACTTCTGAAACAAGAGGTTTTGAATATTTTACATGGTTTTCAATCTGATATCAGATTCCTTGTTTTGCTCTCCAGTGTGTAACTTTTTTCCAGGGTGTGTTTAGCAGGCGACTTTTAGAGGTTGTGATTTTGTATCCCTGGCTGTGCTGCTGAAACAATGATAAAAAAGGGCAAGGCGAGAGCAGGGCTGCAGGGCAAACCTGGCTGACTGTGACGGTGAGGAAGGGTTCCTTCGGTTGTGCCGGCTGCGGGGCTGTGCCACCTGGAAGCTGGGCAGGAATTCCTCTGCCCTCCATGGCTTACATCCTACACCATTCCCGGGCTGACATTGGTTCGAGGGGTGTGAGGAGAAGGTAGGAGCATCTCTCCAGGTGAATAACACCGGGGTTAAAGCCGAGATGGGCTTTGGGCAGGGCTGCAGCTCACACACAGCCCTGTTGGGGTCTTGCAGACTCCTGATTTACGTGAACCACCTTTGTACAAGCCCCACCGCAGGACCACTCGCGGGGTGATACGCAGGGACAGTTGCTGGCAGGCCCGGGGACGAGTGTTTGCCCACCGCGGCTGCTGGAGGGGCTGGTGCCCGCCAGCCCCGGGCCG